TGTCAACAAATAGAACAGACTGCTAACTTACTGCTTTTTGAAAGTCAGCAACAATATGTAAGCACATGAAGCCCACTGAAAAGGCAGACTCAAGAGTTAGACTGGCTGAATTTCACTAATGGCTCTGCCATTTATTAGCTAGTTGACCCTGGGTAAGATATTTTCCAGTCCTACCTTGGTTTTCTAATATGTAGAACTGGAATGACTATCTACCCCACAAGTTGATATATGTGAAGTGCTCAGAGAAACATCTAGTACACAAAGTAAAAATTCATTATTTCCCTATGGTAATATTGAGTGAGTAAAACAATCATTTTAGAATCAACTTAGTTAACAAAAATAACCCTATGATGATTTTGGGGTAGTCCTTCTCTAAGTATTACCCTGCCAACAGTATAAGGTGGTATCTATAAAAGAGCAGACACGTAAAACTTTTGCAAGGGAACTTTAAAGGCAGGTAGGTAGGTATATGTGTATGTACGTATGTATTTAATTTTGGTGGTTTCTAAACACCTTTAAGGAAGATATTAAGCAATAACTAAGAATGCTTCCTTAAGATGTTATTTTTGTATATTATATCACTTAGACAACTGTGTTTCATCTGCCGTAATCAGTTTTTCAAAGTCAGATGAAAAAAGCAACTGAAGTCCTAGAAAATAGAAATGTAATTTTAAACTATTCCAATAAGGTTGGAGGAGAAAGGTTTCCAATTTCAGGGTAAACAACAGAATATTGAATCAGAACATAAAAACTGGCAAAATTTACTTTCAACAGAATGTTGGTAAAGTTATCATCCTAAAGATAACTTGAGGAAACAAACCATAAAACATTCCCTTATCTATGCATTGTATAAAGTCATAGTAAAATCTACATCTGAAATATTATAATTCAAATTACTTCAGAAAAGACAAAGATGAAGATTCAGAGAAGTACAATTCAAATGACTTTGGGGACCTGCAAGGAGCAGCGGACTGGGAAAGCGTGGGGAAGAGAAGGTGTATGTAAGAGTGTGAGATCATAAAGGACATGGACAGGATATAGGATGGATATCACAGGACAGAGCTGTTGGTTCCATTTTCAAATGCTTGAACTAGAGGGTACAACTCTCTAGTCGGCAATGAAAACAAGTAGTTAAAAAAGAATACAGTGAACTGGTGGAATTTGTACGAAAGGACATATGATTAATAATAGAAATGGAAATAGATGAAATAAAATTTAAAATAGTAATTTTCAACCATTTAAAAAAAAATTGTCAGAGGGCACATGTACTCGCTGGAGCTGGAGGAAATGAGAAAGCATTCCTTAGGGGGAATGGTCATGCCACAGTCCCTTCTCCACCTCTCCTTCCTTTCGGGATTTTGGACATTCACCTATATAGCATGTTTCTTAAGCTGCCAAGCCCAGGACTCAAACTGTGCAGTCAGTCATGTGGGATCCAACCTCCTTAACCACAACACCACATGCTAATCCCAACCTTTTTCTTTCTTTTTTTTGGTAGTAAGTTATTGGTAACTATGGTCTCTCTGGTAATACTTCTCAGTGGGTATTAGAAAAGATATTAGAATTCAATGAGAGATCATGGTGGTGCAACTTGAAAGCCCTATGAATAAATCCAATATGCTCTCTTTTGTCATCAGTGCCTTCCCAAGATGTAGTCATTTAGATAAATCAGTGAACCCTTAATGAGTTATTAGAAAATGAATGATCACTGCATAGGGGTGTTCTTTTTATAAAGTTTGTTTCTTCCACAAGTGAGAGAGACAGAGGCAGGAAGAGAGAGAACACATGTGACCAACCCCAGGGTTTGACACTGTAATCTACCCCCCCGCTCCAGTTCTAGATCTCAGGCTAGAGTGTACTTGGTGTACTCAAGGAGGTCTCTGGATCTAAACAGAGAATCTTCCTATGTGAAGCTGCCTTATAAAGAACTGTTTTGCTGGGGTGCCACTGTCTGGAAACTATGTAGGTACTCTTGATATTCATGGAAGTCAGACATGACCTTAATAACAAGGTCAGACACAAATTCACTGAGGACAAAAGATCACAGATCTAAATCTACGTAGCACCGTTGGTCTCGCTGCAAGCATTACTGGTAAGGCTTATAACTGGTAAGGATGTTTTGGGGCCAGCAGGTGGCATTGTGTTTAAGGTGCTGGATCCCACCTGACCAACCATGTGGTTTGAGTTCCAAACACAGTGGCTTGAAAATCATACTGGGCACATGTGTGTGCCCAAAATCTCAAAGGAAGAATGGAAGAAAAGGGAATGCGGCATGGCCATACCTCCTGGCAGATGATTTCTTGCTTTCCCTTTCTCTGTCTCTCTTCAGTGAGCACACCTGCCCTATTGTAAAAACCTAAAAAACAGGGGCCGACTAGTGTCGTGGTGGTTAAGGTGCTGGATTCCCACATGGCCAACCGCAGTTCAAGTCCCGGACCTGGTGGCTTGCTTTCTCACTTTCCCTTTCTGTCTTTCTCTCTGGTCAAAATAAAATAACAAATAAAATAGGGAACCAGCATTTAGCATAATGGCTATGTTGCTGGACTCCCACGTAGTCAACTGTGGTTCACATCCTGGACCTGGTGGCTTAAAACCCACGCCGGGCGCGTGTGCGTGCATGCATGCGTGTGTGCCCAAGATCCTGAGAGGAGAATGGAGGAGAAGGGATTGCGGTGTGGCCATCCCCTCTGGGGGGTGATTTCTCACTTTCTGTCTCTATGTCTCTCTCTGTCTGTCTGGCGAGGGCACATGCCCTATAGTAAAAAACCTCTCAAAAAAAAAAAAACCCACAAATAAAATAAGTAAATAATTCTTTTTAAAAATCTAAAAAACAAAAAAAAATACGTAAGGGCATTCAGTAGTTCTAGAAAAAAAAAAGTTCACTGAAATGCTGATAGTCTAAATTAAGATACGAATAAATGAATATAAATGAATATACTTAAAATGAATTTAAATGAATATACTTAAAAAACAAAATAACAATGATAAGGATACAAAATGGCTAAAGATTAAAATACATAGTTTAGGAACACAAACGTTGGCCCAGCAGTGGTGTCAAAGGTTAGGGTGCCCGGCACAGTAGGAGACACACAGGAGGTCCAGGTATCCTGGACCACCCTAAACACTCCAGGCACAGGGCAGCATATGCCTGGAACCCTAGCTAACTGGGTAGTTGGTGTGGGAAGATCACAATGTGGGGAGAGCCTGTTAAAAATATTTCTCTCTCCCTTATTAAAAGAAAAGCAAAGCAAAACAAAGGTTATAAGAGTAAATAGAATACCAAATAACTGCTTTCTTTATGCAAAAATAATCCCTCTGAGAGCTAGTTAATAAAAAAATCCCTGGGACTTTTATGAAAATAGTATTTTCTGCTCTTTCACTGGAACAAACATTTTGTGACAACTCTAGCAGACAATGTGGGCTACAAAGAAGATTTAAGACATACCTTGCCTTCATAATAGATATAGCAACATAGTCAATAATTTAAAAATCAAATGAATTTCATTAATAGGAGAAAATACTTAAAAATGGGGGGTAGAGAGAAGGGAAGACATATGGATACAAAATCCTCACAGTGGGCACTGGTGGGATGTTTCTAGCTGCTTTTAGTCCATTTTCAAATATACATATGGATCCCTATTTAGTACTGAGAAAGTAGTAAAGAAAGACTGAATTTGGATGCTGAAGTGAGCTGCTAAGTCAATCAAAAGATTTTTCTGGTGATCTTTTAAAACAAAAAAGGGAAACACAAACATATTTGTTATTTGTCATAGTAATCATCCATGTAGTTAGGCAAAAATGCTTTGTAATGACAGTATTCAGCAGTCAGAAGATGCATGAAATATTCGACCGTTATCATATCAAGGTGCTAGAAGGCACTATGATCAGAAGAAAAGTGACCACAGCAGACTGTGCGAAGTCAGAACTGCACTAGTAGTCACAGTGTTAATGCTCATATAAACGTGGGTTTTTACCATACTCTGTGAAGCATAAAAGCAAGAGT